TGCCACGGCACTCTACCAAGGGTGACATAATGAGACTTTAAAAAAAAATAAATAAATAATTCAGTTTAACACTAGATGGGGAGAGATGCTGACAGGGTTGTGAGGGAAAGAAAGCAAACTGCCTCACTGTCCTTTCCGTTTCCCCATAGCTCCCTTCATACTAGTCAGACTGTGATCTCCACTGTTCCAGGAAAATGTTTTTAAAGAGAAACTGGACAATTCTTGGCCATTGACCAGCTAAGGGTCCATTTAAAGAGAATCAAAGTAATTTTTTTTTTTTTTTTTTTTTTTGAGACAAGAGTCTTATTTTGTTGCCCTCAGTAGAGTGCTGTGATGTCACACCTCACAGTAACCTCCAGCTCTTGGGCTTAAGTGATTTTCTTGGCTCAGCCTCCCTAGTAGCTGGGACTATAGGCACCCGCCACAACATTCGGCTATTTTTGTTCCATTTGCCACTGCTCTTTTAGCTGGGTGGGGCTGGGTTCAAACCTGCTACCCTTGGTATATGGGGCCGGTGCCCTACCCACTGAGCCACAGGCGCCGCCCAATTAAAGTAATTTTTGAGAGCAGTTTTCTCCATTGGTTTTTCATGAAAACTTTAGCATACCTACCCCATCTGCCCTGGTCTGGATTTTTTGAGTATCCTAGAAGTTTCTTTGCCTAGTTCCAACCAGGCCTGTCGTCTTGTCATCTTCCACTTATAGAATATTCTTTTCTCTCTCCATATGTTCCCAAATTGCATGAAATTCCTCCTCCTTTCCTCTTCTTTTCTGTCCTGCTAATTGCCATTTTCTTCAGAGTGGCAAACCAAGTCTCATCAGTTCTGTGAGCCTTCCTTGAATTCACTAGCATGTATTTCTTTTCTTTTTTTTTTTTTTGAGACAGAGTCTCATTTGGTCACCCTTGGTAGAGTGCCACGTCATCTTGGCTTACCTATGAGCTGAGGCAATCCACCCACCTCAGCCTCCCAAGTGCTGAGATTACAGGCATGAGCTACCACGCCCAGCCATCGTGTGTTTCTGTCCTGAAATCATTTAACTCTTTTGTTTGTATGACTTAAGGTGACATTTATACAGTACCTATGCAATAAAAAAGAATCATTTATTCTTCTTTTACCCCTTCTGTTACAACTAAACTTTTGCCGAGGGCAGTGGCAATGTTTCAGACCTTGTATTACCCTTAGAATCATGTATGTTGCTTGGGATATAATAAGTACTCAGCAAATACTTGTTGATTTGTTCAGTAGGAGCTTATTTGAAGAATAAATTATGGCTCGGCGCCTATAGCTCAACCGGCTAAGGCGCCAGCCACGTACACCTAAGGTGGCGGGTTCGAATCCCCAGCCCGGACCCGCCAAACAACAATGATGGCTGCAACCAAAAAATAGCCGGGCGTTGTGGCGGGCGCCTGTGGTCCCAGCTACTTGGGAGGCGGAGGCAGGAGACTCGCTTGAGCCCAGGAGTTGGAGGTTGCTGTGAGCTGTAATGCCACGGCACTCTACCCAGGGGGACAGCTTGAGGCTCTGTCTCAAAAAAAAAAAAAAAAAAAAGAATAAATTATATTGCATTATAAAAACTGCTTTTTTTTCTTCTTGTGCTCAGATTACTCAGTCCTTGGTGTTTCTGCTGTTGGCTACACTTTTCAGTGCATTGACGGGTTTGCCATGGAGTCTTTATAATACTTTTGTGATAGAAGAAAAACATGGTTTCAATCAACAGGTATAATAGAGAATAGAAATGTTCTGTTGTAGTTGTGAAGCACTTTGCTTTAGTCTTGTTCTAGTAATAATTTAAACATAAGTTGCTATTTTAGAGCATGAATTAGTTGAAAGGAACTACAGATATGATAAAGATCATAGTTTAAGTTCTTGCTATAAACTCTACTAGTGTTTTTCAGCTAATAACATTGAAATGAATTTATTTTATTTTATTTTATTTTTTTGTAGAGATAGAATCTCACTTTATTGCCCTTGGTAAAGTGCTTTGGCGTCACAGCTCACAACAACCCCCAACTTCTGGGCTCAGGTGATTCTCTTACCTCAGCCTCCCCAGTAGCTGGGACTACAGGCGCCCGCCACAATGCCCGGCTATTTATTTGTTGCAGTTTGGCCGGGGCTGGGTTTGAACCCGCTACCTTCGGCATATGGGGCCGGCGCCCTATTTGCTGATCCACAGGCACCACCCAAATGAATTTATTTTAAACTGTAAAATGAAAGACATTGACTTAATGTCTTAGGTTACCAAGTGTCATAACATAGTTTAACTGCATGTTAGTTAATATTTAAATTGCTTAAATAATGTATCTTTTGTATTCACTTATTATTTACAAAGCAAATCAGTTTCTCAGTGTTTTATAGTGATGTTTTCTTTTTCCAGACGTTGGGATTCTTCATGAAAGATGCAATCAAGAAATTTATCGTGACTCAGTGTATTTTATTGCCTGTATCTTCACTACTACTTTATATTATCAAAATTGGGGGTGACTATTTTTTTATTTATGCCTGGCTGTTCACATTAGTTGTGTCTCTGGTGAGTAATGACTTTATTTCATTTTGTTTTACAAAAGTTCCTTGGTGAGATTGCCACAATTTTACCTCCTTTAGCATGTAGATAGTTCTTAAGAAGCAGATGAAATATAAATAGATGCTCATATACATTTCTCTTTTGCTTTCTGCCTTGAATATAGAAATAGAGTTGGTGGCTCAAAGGAGGAGGGCACCGGCCCCATATACCGGAAGTGGTGGGTTCAAACCTGGCCACAGCCAAAAAAAAAAAAAAAAAAAAAAAGAATAGAAATAGAGTTGACTGACTATAAATTTTATTGTCTTTATGCCAATCCTTTCAAATTATAGGAGCTAGTTATTAGTCACTTTTAATAATCCAATTGGCAGGTAGTTTGGGGCTGTGCATTTGTGAGTTGCCATCAGAGTGAATGATCAAGTGTAATAATATCTAGTGCTTAAAAATCATGGATACTTTGAAGAGAGAATAGATTTAAGAAGGACAAGAGAAGGAATGTGTGCACTTTCCTGCTTTCTTATACTCTCCTCCATTTCCCTGTCCCTCTTCCCCTACCCATCCCCTCTCCCTTCTTTACTGTTCTGCTCTGTTCTCTTCCATTCTCTTTCCTTTCTTTCTCCCTTTTCTCTCCCCTTTTCTCCTTGACTGCCACCAATCTTTCCCTCCCTTCTTCCACTTTCTCTTTTCCTTTCACTCTTCTCTCTCATTTTCTCTCCCCATCTTCTCCTTCCCATATTCTAAACAACTTCACAATACACACACTACATACAGCGTAACACAAATTGTCTGTTCATAGCTCCTGTAAAATAACATCTGTCAGCTCTTTACCTCCACTGATGATGAGGTTTATTTTGTTTTGTTTTTTTAGCCATAGGGTTTCACTGTTGTCTAGGCTAGAGTGCAGTGGCTATTTTGAAGGTGTGATCATAGTGCACTACAGCCTCAAACTCCTGGCCTCAAGCAATCCTCCTGTCTCAGTCTCCTGAGTATCTGGGACTATAGTCTGGCTTATGTTTATTTTAATCTCAAATAGATGACGCTTATTGTTTCACTTCCCACTGCTGAGATGAAGATCAGAAAACGGACACTGGTTGGATTTACAAGTATATTATATGGCAAATTGAAGTAAGAGGAAAAAAAAACAGAAGAAATACTCCAAAAATGCTTAAGGAAGTTCTATTTGAACTAAAGCGAACATTTTTGTACTATGGGTAATTAATTTCAGCAGATAAACCAACCAAGTCACAGGCTGCCCAGATCATGCTCTAGTTAATTATTTTTTTGTGAAGACTTCAGGTCTATCATGATTACTTAAAAGGCAGAATTGCATGTTATGATTGACTTATAAAGTGTCAGAGATTCCCAGTGATTATTTATTACCATCTACCTATCTAAATCACTGCTAGCAGCATTATCTTTGAAACTAAAATTGACAGGCTTACTGTGGTATCGGATTACTCATTTTGGATTAATTCATCAGATGTTGAGCTCTTATTATCTGGTAGTCTTTGGGCCTGGAATACTAGAGCAAAGAAGATAAGTTTCCTGATTTCAAGTTTGGGGTCGGCATAATTGGTATTTTTTGTTTTGTTTTGTTTCCATAAATAGGGTCTTGCTCTGCTGCCAGGTTGGTGGTGGCACAATTCATAGGTCACTGCAGCCTCAAACTCCTGGGCTCAGTTGTCCTCCTACCTCAGATTCCCAAGTAGCTGGGACTAAAGTGTGCGCCACTGTACCCAGCTTAACTCTTTTTTTTGTAAAGATGGGGTTTCACTATGTTGCCCAGACTTATCTCAAATTCCTGGCCTCAAGTGGTTCTTCTGTCTTGGCTCCTAAAGTGCTGAATTCATAGGCATGAATTACTGTACCTGCAGTTGTCTGAATATAATTGAGGCTGTACAATAATAGGTAGTTTTTCTTTAAGAATGTATTCATAGGTTGTTCTGACATTTACTTTTCAGGTTCTTGTCACAATCTATGCTGATTATATTGCCCCTTTATTTGACAAATTCACACCTCTGCCTGAGGGAAAGCTTAAACAAGAAATTGAAGTAATGGCAAAGAGTATTGACTTTCCTTTGACTAAGGTGTATGTTGTTGAAGGTAAGGCTGCCTGTGGGTAAGAAGGTTTTATTCAAGTGGTCTTTTTTATTTGGTACTTTATTCTTAAAACTTAAATAGAAGAACAAGCAGATTTTTAAATTTATTTTTTTATTTTTTTATTTAAAGGTTAAGATTTACATGATTTGTTGTTTAATATTTATAGGAATATTGACATAGTCCTGGGATAAAAACTGGTGCTTGATGTCAAATCCTGCTTTTGCCTGCAGCTATGTTTTGTTGGCTTTATATATATGTATGTGCATGTGAATATATGTATATGTAAATTTTTTTTAAGAGATGAAGTCTCACTTTTTGCTCAGGCTGATCTTGAACTCCTGAGCTTAAGCTATCCACCCACTTCTCACCTGTCTCAGCCTCCCAGAGTGCTAGAATTACAGGTGTGAGCCACCACCCTCAGCCTTGTTGGCTTTACAATATTGTTTTGAATTTTTGGCCAAGACTTTTTTCACTCCCTGTTACATTATGTTCTATGTTAGACTGATTTATTCACTTCTGTTTCCTGCCTGGCTTCTCTAGGTAATTGAGTTGGACTCTTGAATATCAGATTCCATTTAGCAGTAGTCTGGTAGGCTCATAATCAAAACCAGTGTTGGCTCGGCACACCAACACAGTGGTTATGGAGCCAGCCACGTTCACTGAGGTTGGTGGGTTCGAACCCAGCCCTGGCCAGCTAAACAACAATGATGACAACTGCAACAAAAAAATAGCCGGGCGTTGTGGTGGGCATCTGTAGTCCCAGCTACTTGGGAGGCTGAGGCAAGAGAATCGCTTAAGGCTAAGAGTTTGATGTTGCTGTGAGGGGTGACGCCACGGCACTGTACTGAGGATGACGCAATGAGACTCTGGCTCTTAAAAAAAAAAAAAGAAAGAACGAAGTGGCAGGTTGGGTTTGGCATCCTGGCCAGGATATCACCAGTAAGAAGCCTCTGTGTTAGATGAAAGGCATAGAAACTGAGAAGTAACTACAGGGCAGGGGAGAACAGAGGTGGTCCCAACTGAAAAGAATGTGCTAAGGCTGTGTAATGCAATTGAAGGCAGAATTGGAACAGCTTAAGTTTCTGTAGGGAAATGATGGAATAAGCCAGTTTACATTTCTTTCCTTTTTTTTTTTAGAGACAGAGTCTCACTTTCTTGCCCATGGTAGAGTGCCATGGCGTCACTGCTAATAGCAACCTCCAGCTCTTGGGCTTACGCGATTCTCTTGCCTCAGCCTCCCAAGTAGCTGGGACTACAGGCACCTGCCACAATGCCCAGCTATTTTTTTGTTGCAGTTTGGCTGGGCCAGGTTTGAACCTGCCACCCTTGGTATATGGGGCCAGCGCCCTACTCACTGAGCCACAGGCACTGCCCCAGTTTACCTTTCATCTCTGAAATCACTGTTCTTTTTTTTTTGAGACAGAGTCAGACTCTGTTACCCCGGCTAGAGTGCTGTGATGTCATTCTAGTTCAGAACAACCTCAGACTCCTGACTTGGTTTCCCAAGTGGCTGAGACACCAGACACCATGCTCAGCTAATTTTTCTGTTTTTAGTAGAGTTGGGGTCTCACTTTTACTCAGATTGGTCTCAAACTCCTGAGCTCAAGCAGTCCTCTTGCCTCAGCCTCTAAGAATGCTAGGATTATAAGTGTGAGCCACCATGCCCAGCCTGCTTTTTCCTTTTTAAGGTATTAAACGAACAGCACACTAATCAGTATAGAACAATCTCTGAGGGGGTTTTACTGAAGGGACAACCTAAGTTACTGATCACTTAAGTTATAATCACATAACATGAAGCAGTAGAGGTGATAAATAGAATGTATATGTACCATCCACGCAATTTTCTTTTTCTTTTCTTTTTTCTTTCTTTTTTTTTTTTTGAGACGGAGCCTCAAGCTATCCCCCTGGGTAGAGTGCCATGGCATCACGCTCACAGCAACCTCCAACTCCTGGACTCAAGCGAGTCTCCTGCCTCTGCCTCCCAAGTAGCTGGGACTACAGGTGCCCGCTACAACACCCGGCCATTTTTTTGGTTGCAGCCATCATTGTTGTTTGGCGGGCCCCCGCTGGGGATTCGAACCCGCCACCTTAGGTGTATGTGGCTGGCGCCTTAGCCGCTTGAGCCACAGGCGCCGAGCCTCTTTTTCTTTTCCTTTTCTTTTTTGAGACAGAGCCTCAAGCTGTCCCCTTGGGTAGAGTGCTGTGCATCACAGCTCACAGCAAGCTCCAACTCCTGGGCTCAAGCGAGTCTCCTGCCTCCGCCTCCCAAGTAGTTGGGACCACAGGCACCCACCACAATGCCCAGCTATTTTTTTGTTGCAGCCATCATTGTTGTTTGGAGGGCCTGGGCTGGATTTGAACCTGCCAGCTCAGGTGTATGTGGCTGGCACCTTAGCCACTTGAGCCATAGGCGTCGAGCTGCAATTTTCATTTTAGATGAGGTAGAAAAAGGCTTTATGGAGGGGTATGACCACAGCTGTGTCTTTTTTTTTCTTTAATTTATTTTTTTATTTCAAATTAATATAAGGGTACAAATTTTTAGTTTACATTGTTCTCACTTCTAGGGTAAAGTTCCAGTGACAAAAGAGCCCCTCACCCAGGGGGCGTGTTATACACCCTCAAAATGTGCACATTAGGTGAGATCCCCCCTGATGGCCTTCATTCTGCCAGTCCTCTCCCCTACCTCTCTCGAATTCCCTGAGCTGAATCTTAATGGGGAATCAAGATTTGAATAGGTTGCAGGGTAGCAGCATTTCAGAGGTCAGGCTTTGGAGTCAGTGGGCTTAGGTTTTATTTCTCTATCACAGATTACCTGTGTGACTTTGGGCAACTCAATTTTGCTAAATAACAGTTTATTCTTCTATACTGAATGTATGTTTTTATTATTGTTAACAATAGTAACAGCCCTCAAAACTATTTTGAAGGAATGAATTTATCACTGCAGTAACAATAAAGATTATGGATTATAAATTGGGAGAGTATTGTAGTGAACAGCTCAGAATCCTGCTCTCAGAAATTATCACATAGCAAGTGCTGTGCAGGGAATTAAATTAATGTGGTGTGGTGAAGCTTGACTGAGTTGATACTTCAGACTGGGTCATTAGAGAAAGCTTCTCTGAACAAACAACAGTTAAGCCAAAACCTGAAGAGAAGAGCATCCATATTGAGATCAGTGAGAAGACCTAGATTTTTGTATTTTCAAGGAAAATGAGGAAGTCCAGTGTGGCTACATGATGGCAGGACAGTGTTCTGAGATGAAATCAGAGACACAGGCAAGAGTCACATGGTGTAGGCCTTTGTAAATCAGGTTAAGGAGTTTGGCTTTTAACTTCAGCGGGAAAAGCCATTGAAGGCGTTAGGCAGGAAAGTAACGAGGTCAGGTGTTTATTTCAAAAATACCTTGGGGCGGCACCCGTAGTTCAGTGGGTAGGGTGTTGGCCACATCCACTGAGGCTGGTGGGTTAGAAACCAGCCCACACCAGCTAAAACAATGATGACAACTGCAAAAAAAAAAAAAAAGCCAGGTGTTGTGGTGGGTGTCTGTAGTCCCAGCTACTTGCAAGGCTAAGGCAAGAGAATTGTGTAAGCCCAAGAGTTTGAGGTTGCTGTGAGGGGGCAACAGCTTGAGACTCTGTCTCAAAATAAATAAATAAATAAAAATAAATAAATATATATATATGTATATATACCTTGGGCTACAGTATATTGGGGGGGGAAGCAGAGAGAGCAGTTAGAGCAGCTAGGAAGCTACTGCAGTAGTCTGGGTAGGATATAACAGTGGCTTAGACTAGGACAGTAGTCACTGATGGAGAGAAGTGGATGCATTTGGGATAGGTTTTAAAAGTACAGTTGATTGCCTTGCTAATAGATTGCGTATAGGGGAATAAAGGAGCAACATCAAGGGTAACAGCCTAGATTTTTGACCTGAGCAATTGGATAAATGGTGATTTAATGAGAGGAAAAGAACTGAGAGAAGGTCAGGTTTGTGGGGACTTAAGATTCTAATGGATGTGTTACACGTTGCGGTACCTATTAAAAATTGTGTTAGAGGCTCGGTGCCTGTGGCTCAAGTGGCTAAGGCGCCAGCCACATACACCTAAGGTGGCAGGTTTGAATCCAGCCCAGGCCCGCCAAACAACAATGATGGCTGCAACCAAAAAATAGCCAGGCATTGTGGTGGGCACCTGTGGTCCCAGCTACTTGGGAGGCGGAGGCAGGAGACTCCCTTGAGCCCAGAAGTTGGAGGTTGCTGTGAGCTGTGATGCCACGGCACTGTACCCAGGGGGGCAGCTTGAGGCTCTGTCTCAAAAAAAAAAAAATTGTGTTAGAGTTCTGCAAGCAATAGAAATCAGCTGTGGCTGATTTAAGCAGAAAAATTGCTTATTAAAACAATATTTGGTAGTTCATCAAGTCTCCAAGAAAGTTTGGAAAATAGGCTGTTACTAGGGAGGCCAGGAACTCAGAATCATGCTGCAGAAGCAGTCTGGCCAGGACACTGCTCTTGCTACCTTAGAACACGGGACCCAGCAGTTTGCATCCCTAGCATCCCTACCGCTGGCACCTACAGAATTAATTCCTTGCTTTTTTGTGTAATTAGCTAAGTCTTCAGAGTCTTCAGCAGTTGCATCTGATCAACTAAGCCAGGGCTTGGGGTTAGCTGCTGGGAGTGCTGGTGAGGCAAATAGCTAGCTTTTTAGATTTCTCAAATGAGAAGTGTTCTCTCACATGGTATGAAAAGGAGATTCCAATACTAGGCAAGAAGAAAACCACACATATGAATATGAAGAACAGGTATGCTCATAGACATCCATGTGGAAATATCAAATAGGCAGCCAGATGCGTGAGACTGGAGTTCTAGGGAGAGGTCAAGGCAAGAGTATAGCTTTGAAAGTATCTGGCACTGAAGGCACTTAGAGATAAGAAGGGGGTGGTCATAGCCAGCAGGGCAGGACAGCCAGGAGGAGGAGGAGATACCATTGAGGTAAGAAGAAAAACAGCAGAAAGTGGTGTCTCAAGAGCCAGCAGAAGAAAGTGCTTCAAAGAGAAAGTGGTCACCTGTGTTAAATGCTGCTAAGAGGCTGCTGAAGATGACACATCATAAACAAAATATGAAGATGTAGGTGGCAGTGCCTTATGTTTTTGTAGAGGGTTTGATTTTTCAGAGTTCTCAAATATATTACTTCATTCCTCAAGTGATATCATTAATCTGTTCAGTAAACAAACATTATTGAATATATGGTCATGCATTGCTTAACAATAGGGATACATTCTGAGAAATGCATCGTTAGGCCATTTCCTTGTCTTGCAAACACAGTGCAGTGTTACTTACACAAACCTAGATGGTATAGCCTATTGTACACCTACGGTGTATGGAGTAGCCTTTTGCTTCTGGGCTATAACCCTGCACAGCACCTTACTGTACTGAACACTGCAGGCAACTTTAATACATGGTAAGTATTAAAGACAACAAAGACACATGTTGCACTGCAGTGTTACAATGGCGATGACATCACTAAGTGGTGGGAACTTTTTAGATCCATTATAATCTTATAAGACCATTATCATATATGTGGTCTATCATTATCAAATCATAATTGCACAGTGCATGACCATATACTACATGCCAGGCACAGTGATACAAAAAGCTTGCAGTTTAGTATAGAGAACCTTAAACTTTAGTAAGTATAAGAATTCCCTGGAGAATTTGTTAAAAGATAAATTCTTGGGCTTCATTCCTATAGATTCTGACTTGCTAGATAATTCCATTATCTCCTACTGACAAGCACCCCTGGGTAATTTTGGTGTAGGTGTTCCTTGGGCCACACTTTGAGATACACCTAGAGCAGTGGGAGATATTGAGACATTAATTTTATTTATCTTCATACAGTCTGCCTACTTTCACAAATAACTTCAGATAGCTTCTAAGAATTATTTTAAATTAATTTAAAATTATGATCAGCTGATAAAAAGATGAGATGGAGGTGTGGAGAATGGTAACATAGCATTCTAGAGCCTACAGTCCCTTTTTTTTTTTTTTTTTTTTTTTTTTTTTGAGACAGAGCCTCAAGCTCTCCCCCTGGGTAGCGTGCCGTGGCATTACAGCTCACAGCAACCTCCAACTCCTGGGCTTAAGCGAGTCTCCTGCCTCCGCCTCCCAAGTAGCTGGGACCACAGGTGCCCGCCACAACGCCCGGCTATTTTTTGGTTGCAGCCGTCATTGTTGTTTGGCGGGTCCGGGCTGGGGATTCGAACCCGCCACCTTAGGTGTACGTGGCTGGCGCCTTAGCCGGTTGAGCTATAGGCGCCGAGCCCAGTCCCCTTTTATTGACACAATTAAGTCACAATTTTGGCTCTTAATCTTTCTGGCAATCAAACAAAAAGTGACATATTAATATATCAAATGAATAATAGCTTCTGCTTATCAAAACTTTACTATTAAACGTACATACAACCAAGTACTTTGCATTAGAAATATGAGAGAGGGCTGGGCGTGGGGGCTGATGCATGTAATCCTAGTATCATGGAAGGCCAAGATGGGTAGATTACTTGAACTCAAGAGCAAGACCCATTCTCTGAAAATAGTTGGCATTGTAGCAGGTGCCTGTAGTCCTGGCTACTTGGAAGGCTGAGGCAAGAGAATCATTTGAGCCCAAGAGTTTGAGGTTGCTGTGAGCTATGATGCCATAACACTCTACTGAGGGTGACAAAGTAAGACTGTCTCAAAAACAAAACACAACAAAACATATGAGATATAAAATTAATGTTTTCTGTGATATACCTCAGATTCTCAAGAGATAATTTTTCATTATTTCTTTTTGAAAGAAAGTATAAAAATAATAGTAGTAGTTTATGTGGATCAGGCAGTATAGTAATTGTTTTACTTAGAATATCTCATGTCATCCTTAATCTAACTCAGTGAAATAGATTTTAGCCTCACTTCATGAACAGGGAGCTAAAGCCTGAAGAAATTAAGAAAGCTTTTTAAATTTACACAACTAATACATGGGCCAGCCGTGGTGACTTATTTATGCCTGTAATCCTAAACACTCTGGGAGGCCAACGTGGGAGGATTGCTTGAGCTCAGGAGTTTGAGGTATCTGTGAACTGGGATGACTCCATAGCACTCTAGTCTGGGGCAACAGAATGAGACTCTTTCTCCAAATAAAAGACAACAATGACAACAACTGATATGTGGCAGAGGCAAGATTTGAATCCAGAGTCTATGCTCTTAGTCACTATATTCAGTTCATTGTACATTGCAAAACATTTGGAAATTAAATATATAAAGAAGAAAATAAAAATTAACCATAGTTCAGCTACTATTAGCCACTATTAAAAATTTAGGTATGTCTTCTTCCAATCTTTATATAAATAGCTTTAATTTTTTTTCTGATTAGATGAGAATCCTTATTTTAAATGCTTTGCAAGAGGGAGAAAAGTGGCTCGGCGCCTGTGGTTCAAGTGGCTAGGGCACCGGCCACATACACCTAAGGTGGTGGGTTTGAATCCAGCTTGGTCCCGCCAAACAACAATGATGGCTACAACCAAAAAAAAAAAAAAAAAAAAAAAAGAGGGAGAAAAATAAAAAAGGGGAAACAAAAATCTGTAATTCTAGAATCCAGTGATAATTGCATCAGTATTTTGATTTATTTCTTAATAGGCTTGTGTTTATGCTTTTCTATTTACATATGCATTTTTTGCTTGACAATGGAACCTTATAGACATGAAGTTTTATATCCTTTGTAATAAATATCAGTGAGCTTATTGTTAAATTCTTGGATAGTATAATTTTTTCAAGCTGCTTATAATTTCATTTCATAGATTTATTATAATTTGATCATTTCACAACTGTTGGATATTTAGACTATTTACTTACTGCTGCAAAGCTGTGATGAGCATAAATTTTTTTTTTTTTTTTTTTTTTTTTGAGACAGAGCCTCAAGCTATCCCCCTGGGTAGAG